GAGTCACACCCAAATTCTATGAATGAGTTATTGACATGAATTCCACCAAGGAATTAACTAACTTTTTCAACAATAACCAAAAAAATGATTTCTCCAATAAAACACAATACTCCACATCTTCCAATGAATCCAAGTACTACTGTACAGATTACCTAAGATTCCCAAAAATTATAATGATTTTAAATTAATCAAAATGGGATGTAACACACCCCCAAAGCAGAATCAAACCCAAATGCTTTTAAAGAAGGCCACTTGCTAAATTGTACACCTTCTACTCCACTTAAAGCATGCTCAACAAAATCAGCATCCACATACCCTTTTCCATTGGATCCGTCCCCAGGAATTGAATACAATGGCACCACAGGTGATGGTGATAAAGCGGCATTATCTATATATCCTGAACTCCACGGAACTGTATTATTCAAATTCGACCCTTTTATAAGCTCCTAAAGGTATTGTATCAAGTTGAATGTCCACCACGGTCCTGAACTTGTATTGATTGACTCTTTTAAATTCTACACGACCTTGCAAGATTTATAACTGAGACCTTTTCTGTCCCTCTAATACCACTTGTGCACCCTTACAAACCTTCAAAGCTCCACCTCCACCAAAAAACTCATAACCTTTTGAATCAATGATAGACAACGAGATGAGATTTTTCTTCAAATCTAGAATATGTCGAATCTGGCCAAGTGTTCTAATTGTCTCATCCAAAAGTTTCAATCTTACCAATTCCAGCAACCAGACAAGATGCGTTATTTTCCATAAACACGACACCTTTGAAAACAGTTTTATATATAGTAAACAAGTCCTTAGTAGGACACATATGAAACACACATGCTGAATTAAGAATCCAATCATTTTCCGATTTAGACTCAATATCAGAAATAGTTAAGAGATCTCCATCACTTACAACGCTTTCTGCGATGTCTGCTATGCTTGAAATATCTGAATGTGAGAAACTGCATTCTTATCATTTCGTAATTTCTTAACCGTGGTCAAAGTTGCGGACATCTTGTCAATTCCCTACAACGCATCATCTAAATCTAGTTGTGCGAGTACTGCACGCATTTTAACCTGCCATAGTGAAAATCTAGTGCTCCAATCCAAAAGCGGAACATACTTCATGGAAGCCATCACGAACAGAAACTTCAAACAAATCAAACATTGCGCTCTTACGGAACTTCTGAACCTGGAGCTCTGATACCACTCGTTGTAAAACAACCAAGATACCAGAATTACTCTGATACCAATTGTTGTGAAACAACCCACCGGATTGAGATGTTGAAGTTATATCACAAATAATAATGAAGTATATAATCAAACAAAAGAATAATAAAGACAAGAATATGGTAGATGAATTAAGAGATTTTATCGACTCAAAAATAATGGAGAAGATATAAAAATTACAATAGATCCTATAATTCTAGTAATCTATTTTCTCACACTTATCAAATTGTATAGAAGAGTCTAGTATTTATAGGAAACAAGTAAGGAATGTCCAAACCCTTTTGGTAGAGCTGTTGATGAAGTAGGATGCCAAAAAATTGAGTCTAAAACGATGTAAGACAGAGAACAGAGAAAAACCCGAATAGCACAGGTGGTGCCGCGACGCCCACCTCCGGGCGCCGCCGGCGCTGCGGCGTCCATGCGCCTGGAAATTTGCTAAAATATTTATTTATTTTAAATTGTTTTCTCCATCCAAATTCTTCTTCAAGTCCAATACCAGATTTTCAACTCCCAATGGATTTTCAAAATAGAACTTCAACTTGACATAAGACTCCAATAGCATTCCAAACTGAATTCTCCTTGATGTGTACTTCAATTAGAATTCTTCAATACTTCAAGTATCTCAACAAAGAATTCGAGTCACACCCAAATTCTAACAACGAGATATTGGTGAAACTAGGAAGTTAAGTGATTTCCTCTTCTGTTTATAATCACGTTTGAACACAAAGTTATACGCGTGCATTTCTCTGTGTGCATCTTATACTTTGCATATATATGGTACTTTTTGTTGAGAGTGTTTTTACTAAGATCCTTTTTTATTTAGTTCTATTGTTGAACGTGCAAGCTTCAGTATTTGGTGTCAAGACATTTAGGAAATATTCCTTACATTTCCATCTAAACAAATATATGAGCCAATTAAAGAATTAAAAACTTATTACGACTATGACTCTATGAAGTAAGAAATATCCCATCTTAGAGGGACATAAAATAATTGTACAAAACCTTGAAATTATTAGAGAAGTCAATAAGAAAAGTAAAATTAATTTGGATTCTTAATAGTTATATTTTTCTGTTCGATTTTATCACATTCAGATTTCAAAAGCTGAGAAAAATTTTAAAATTTTAAGAAGTTTTTGATAGTGGTGCATCCAAACATAAATAATGCTAAGTATACATTGTTTGGTTGATAATATAGTTTACATCTCATTTGAGTTCAAAAAGTTGTGAATGACAAATTGTGTTTTTTTAAACTGTTCAATGGTGTGTTGCCACATGGTACAATATCAAAAATGATATAAAAAATGATGTACATGTAGCATGATTGTCTGAATATACACGTACAGTTGTACACTTGATAGTGTATATAAATACATTTTTTTTTCAGATCTCACTTTGAAAGACCAAATGATTGATTAAGCATGTGTTTGAGCCCATTTTTTTGGTTGAAAAATCATTGTGTAATAGTGAATTTTTGAAAAATGTGTGATTAAAATGTAAGAAATTTTTTTAGGTACATACAAAATATTTTATTGTAAAAACGTGTGGTTAAAAATGAATATGAGAAAAAAATGAGTTTTGAAATAATGGGAATCAAATAATGGCTAAACTTCAAAATTCTTGTATTAGTGATGGTATAACATAAAGAGCAATAAAATTTGGTAGATATTTATACTATAAATATAATATGTGAAAGAAATAATTAATTCAAATTAAGTGCCCAATTGGTAAAAAGTGTGAAATTTGTGTGAGAGGTCAAGGGTTCGAATCACACCTCACGCATTATATTAAAACTCTTTGATTCGAGTCACACCTCACGCATTATATTAAATTATTATTGTCGGAATTATTTAATGGATCAACTAGCCAGTAAAATATGATAGTTTTTAACTGCCCAGTATTAAAAACCCATTAACCACTAGCCATAAAATTATAAATAAGTACTGGATCATGGTGGAGGCAGTTATGTGATTTGTGATTTTTTTGCCTATATAAACACATATCTGGGCATTAGAAAGGTACAACAAGACAACGAAATTGTATTTTCATATTCAGAAAAATATAATACTCTATTTTAAATATTTTCTGAAGTATACTTGAGAGGTCTGAAAATCATTTGTGATTGCT